CATTGATGTTATCTCCCCCTCCCTCCCCCTTCCCCCCTGAAATCAATAAAAAAAATATATATATATTTTTAAAAAAGGGCAACGTTACCACCAGGGAAATGCTGAAAGTGCCAAAAACCTAGCATCATGCTGGGTCTAGGTAACAGGCGATCATGTTACTTATCGGCCTACGTTCTGCAGACCTGAGTGACACCTCGCCATATCTGCCCTTCTCAGCACAACTTGTATTTTCACATCGGAGACCAGCGACCAAGGTGCTCTAAAGGTAAATCCTATTCCTGAGCTGTACCTGAACGTGGTGAATTAAATTTAACATTTTTTCTTACTATTTCTCAGCATGTTTAGCTGCTTTAATTTTCCCGTGGTACTACCAAAAGATAATTAAGATTGTAAACAAAAGCAGCCTTTCACATTCGAGGGCAGAAACCCTGCCTGCAAGCCATCAGCGCATGAGGCTCCCGCCGCGTGATGCTCTCGGCACAGGTGAGCCCACAGCCCCTAACCGACCTCTCAGGAAGCTGAACGCAGTGGCTGAAGGGCCTTCCATGGCCAGGCCCCACCTGCACTAAGAACCGGCCGGTTGTACCAAACCCAGACCGACCAGTGAGGACCTCACACAGGCAGGGGGCGCTCCTTCTCGTCCCTGCGCGCCTGTGAGACGGGACAGCGCAGGGCGTTCGGTGTCCGTACACTACGGGAAGCGCGACATTAGAAATGCATGACTTCCCTGCAGGTCCCGGTGGAGTGAAGTCACCGTGCAGATACATCTCGTACAGAAAGAAACCAGAGGGTCCGGGGAGAGGAAGCCTGACAGGATGGGAACCGAGGGGGTAGCACGGCGCAGGACACGTACAGACGACGCCGACCGGCCAGGCCCGCGCTGCGCCACGATGGCCCCGGACACGGCCTTGATCCAGCTGTGCATCTCTTCGGGGCTGTCGGCCTGCGGGAGAAAGGGCGCATTCAGTCCACTTCCCACACCGGCTCCTGCATCTAAGACCCGACCTATGCGCTCGGGAGTCAACAGCTTCAACAACAAATCGTTCTAAGGCAATGACTTCAAAACACCTTAGAAATCACTTTGACACCAGGTACTGCTGGGTGAGCGATTGTTCTGGAATAACTCAGAGCAGTGCCGCAATCCGAAGAGAAGTGCTGGCCTCACAGCCCAGAGCACCTTCCTTGATGGACCGTGGCTTCCAGCGTGGATGACAGACCTCCTGTGACTCACCCAACTACACTGGCCCCAGGAGGGGCACAGAGATACTGTCCTTCACTTCTAGAGTCTGCAATCTACAATGTCAACAATTTTAAAGAATCAAGATAGTATTTTTGAACCAAGGCTATTAAATACTTTTTAAAAGAAAAACTTCAAAATAGGCAAAAGTAAATCATACACCTTCATTCACTGCAAATAGGAGGACATGTCAAGAAATCAATTTGGCAAAATAAAGAGGTTCGTGCACTGAAGAGTTACTCTAGAGCTAGAAACTCATCCTGAAGAAATGTATTTGTTTAATCCTCCCCTGAGGACATGTGTATTGATTATCGAACCCGGGACCCTTGAGTCCGCAGGTGCCGCAATCCGAAGAGAAGTGCTGGCCTCACAGCCCAGAGCACCTTCCTTGATGGACCGTGGCTTCCAGCGTGGATGACAGACCTCCTGTGACTCACCCAACTACACTGGCCCCAGGAGGGGCACGGAGATACTGTCCTTCACTTCTAGAGTCTGCAATCTACAATGTCAACAATTTTAAAGAATCAAGATAGTATTTTTGAACCAAGGCTATTAAATACTTTTTAAAAGAAAAACTTCAAAATAGGCAAAAGTAAATCATACACCTTCATTCACTGCAAATAGGAGGACATGTCAAGAAATCAATTTGGCAAAATAAAGAGGTTCGTGCACTGAAGAGTTACTCTAGAGCTAGAAACTCATCCTGAAGAAATGTATTTGTTTAATCCTCCCCTGAGGACATGTGTATTGATTTTTAGAGAAACATCCATGTGATAAGCCTCCATCGGTTGCCTCCCGTACCCGCCCTGAGCAGGGATCGAACCCACAACCCTTTTGGGGTATGGACGATGCTCTGAGCCATCCGGCCAGGACGCACGATACTCCTCTTGTTATACAAATATGTGCCTTAAGAAAGGCAGTGAAAAAAAAAAGAATGCTTGCCTGATTGTGGGATTCTGTGTTTTATAAACCACCCTTTTCTTCCTATTTTTCTATAATTTCTAAGTTTTCTGCAATAAGCCTATGTAAGTTTTATAAAACAAAACAAATTTTTTTAAAAACTCCAATCTGATTAATACAATGAGTAAAAAGTATGTTTTAAACTTAAATGCAGATGCTATCAGTGAAACCTAAGCTCTACTGCCTACTTTTATCATGTACCAATTTTATAAAATTACCAAAAATGATGGAACCAAAATTCCAAAATATGTGCAAAATAATCCAAGTTCAAAGTACACACTCAGCTTCTAAGTAAAGTAGATTGCCCTTCCTCCAATTGCTACTTAATTCTATTCAACTAACTCACAGCAAGGAGCACCCTCGTTTGCTGAACATATGGCCTACCGGTAATTTCACACGTAACACCTGGTGAGCTGTGGTTGTCAGGTTGATGGGGGACAAAAGGGGATGTATGTCACACTTTCAACAATAATGATTAAAAAAAATAACTGCAGTTGTCATTATGTTTTGCTTATTCTCATAACCTGCAAGTTCACGTCCCTCTAAAATTATTAATTCCCACGAAGAGGATCTATAACCTTCAAATAAGTATCTTACCTGCACATAGAAAGTTCGAGATGATGTTACAATTTCAAAGAGGTTGTCCCTCATCATTATGTCACTGTTAACACAAAAAATTTCCAAGTTTTAAACAGCAGTTGTTTGATAGGTTTTTTTCATTTATTTACCCAATACCAAATATCTATCTATAATAATAAAAGAGTAATATGCTAATTAGACCGGACAGCTGAATGACCTTCTGGACATCATTCCGGACGAAGCTGTGATGGCAGGGGCTGAGGCAGAGGCAGTTGGGGGCAATCAGGCAGGCAGGCAGAGGGATTAGGAGAGATCAGGCAGGCAGGCAGAAGGGTTAGGGGAGATCAGGCAGGCAGAGGCAGTTAGGGGCAATCAGGCAGGCAGGCAGAAGGGTTAGGGGAGATCAGGCAGGCAGAGGCAGTTAGGGGCAATTAGGCAGGCAGGCAGAAGGGTTAGGGGAGATCAGGCAGGCAGAGGCAGTTAGGGGCAATCAGGCAGGCAGGCAGAAGGGTTAGGGGAGATCAGGCAGGCAGAGGCAGTTAGGGGCAATCAGGCAGGCAGGCAGAAGGGTTAGGGGAGATCAGGCAGGCAGAGGCAGTTAGGGGCAATTAGGCAGGCAGGCAGAGGGATTAGGGGAGATCAGGCAGGCAGGCAGAAGGGTTAGGGGAGATCAGGCAGGCAGGCAAGTGGTTTGGGGCAAGCAGGCAGGCAGGTGAGCGGTTTGGGGCGAGCAGGCAGGCAGGTGAGTGGTTGGGGGAGATCAGGCAGGCAGGCAGGCAGGCAAGCTATTAGGAGCCAGCGGTCCCAGATTGCAAGATGGATGTTCGACTGCCAGTTTAGGTCCAATCCCACAGAGAGCAGTCGGACATCCCCCGAGGAGTCCCGGATTGCGAGAAGGTGCAGGCCAAATTTCATGCACCGGGCCTCTAGTGTATCAATAAGAAAAGTATGAGGTAAAATACTGATTTAACAAAACCAAGCTATCAATTTTTTCAACTTCTTGAAAAAAATAAAGTTTATATAGTTACATGTATATTTTATTTTGTATTTATTTTTATTGATTTCAGAGAGGAAGAGAAAGGGAGAGAAAGATAGAAACATAGAAACATCAATGATGAGAATCATCGACTGGCTGCCTCCTGCACGCCCGCCACTGGGGATGGAGCCCACACCCTGATCAGAATCAAACCCGGAACCTTCAGTTCACAGGCTGACACTCCATCCACTAAGTCAACCAGCCAGGGAATTATCTGTGTATTTTCGATAAGGTACATAGCACTACTTTAAAACTCAAAGTTTGTAACATGAAGAAATCAGTTTGCACTGCACAAGTACATTGCCTCACACAGCTGTTCGGCACCAACCTTGAAATACTAACATGCTAATCACCAATGTGCCAAATATGATAGAAGTTGTTCACATTAAAGTTTTTCCTTTTCATTAATAAGCTTAAGGATTGTTTCCTAATTTTTAGTTTTCAAACAAAAAAACCCTCAATACTTTAATCCGAGGGTTTTGAAAGGTCTAGCATATCCCAAGTATAAGAAGTTGAAAATGACACAAATAAAGAAAAACGCCATCTTGCAAGCACACCCCTCAGCCTGCAGCCCTGCTGTGCGCAGCGACAGCCACACCACGCGCTCACCTCTGCTTGCACTCCTGGACTTTGTGCACCTCCTTCAGGGGGATCACGCGCAGGGGCTCCTTCTCCTGGCGGGAAAGAGCAGACAGACAGACACATGACGTCTCCTCCTAAAAGCCTCCTCAGGCTGTTTGACCTGGAGGCCTGCGTCCAACCATGCTTCTTGAATCACGCATCAGAATAGCCCCAATCCCCCCGCCCCTCTGTACCAGGTAGTGAGTGTTTGAGGACGAACTCTCTCATATGAACGCATTATTTTAACAAGCACAATGCCAGGGCATGCGCTAGATGTTAAAGGTCAGCTCCCTGGAATTTCCCACCACCCTACGCACAGGCGCTAGTACTCTCACCCACGGGACCTGAGGGTTAGATATGTAAGTGCCCGACCCAAGGTGACAACACCAGACAGAAGCCACAGACACAGGCCATCACTGGCCCTAACAGCGTCACCCCACACTCTACGCTCCATCAAAGACAAGGACTGCAGGTCGCTGACAGGACAGCATGACCCAACGTGCTGCTGTTTTACGAGCACCGAGGAAAGACGCAAACGACAGCCGGACAGTTTTAAAATCACCAATCTTTACGGTTTTACAAAACAGTTCATTTTAAAATAACTTCAGATCATAACCGCTTCTGTATACCCTGCACCCTGTAGAGACGTGGTTCCCCTCAAAGGTCCCAGCAAACAGAAGAGGGGGGCCAGGGGCGTGAGCACAGAACTGCACTCAGTGTCCCCCTCAGGCTATTGCAGAACGTGGGTCACGTGGTAAGAATCCTACATAATAAAGGGCTCATATGCTAATTAGACCAAACAGCAGAAGGACCATCTGGATGAAGCCAGGGCTGCGAGGGCCGGGCCACTCGCACGAACTTTGTGCAGCGGTTCTCAACCTGTGGGTCGAGAACAATGAAAATACATCCTGCATATCAGATATTTACATGACGGTTCATCACAGTAGCAACATTACAGTTATGAAGTAGCAACGAAAATAATGTTATGGTTGGGGGTCACCACAGCATGAGAAACTGTATTAAAGGGCCGCGGCATTAGGAAGGTTGAGAACCACTGCTCTAGTGTTTTAAATAAGGATGCCACTCAAACTGAGGAAAGAGGGAATTCTAATCTTTGATTCCACCTCCAGTCAGAACAAAACCATCTCGTAAGAAGAAACTAAGTGATCTGCTCCCAAAAGCAAACATGGAGAGAGGGCAGGGCAGACAGCAGGACCAGAGGCTGACGCTGACGCTGATGCTGAGATGCAATCCCTTCCGCCGCCTCCCACCTCCCGCCTCCAGGCCCTTCGGGAAACCTCAGACTGAGGGGTCTGGTGTCTCCAACTCCTTGGAGGTGAAATGTCTCTGAAGACGCAACCTTTTCATTGAGATCCACCCAACAGAACATCACCCAGAAGCACGGCCACCAGAGGCTCACTGTCTCACAAGGAGGGACAGGACTGGAAAGTGCAGACACTGCATGTAGGAACCACCACAGGGCAACGACCCTCCAACACTGAAAAGCACGTTCAGGACAAAGGGACATACCAGTTCGGACTTGAAGTAGCCTATCGTGTTCTCGTCCAATTGGAAATACCTTCTCTTCCAGTTCTTCATCTAGAGAGGAGCACAGACATGAGACTCTGCCTCTAGGACGCGGATGCTCATCACCCCCACGGGCCCTCCCCTGGGGAGAGACGCAGCTTCATTTCTGTCGCTGTCAGGCCTTGAACTCCTAACTCCAGCCGGTGCTGGCCTTCAGCTTTTATCACATGATTGTCTAATGCAGCTTCATAATCTCAATGCTCTAAAAGTTAAAAAAAAAAAAAGGCACTTCCCCAAAACAAAACAAATGCTCCCAGGAAGTCAAGAGCAAGAACAGGAAACAGTATGAAACCACACCAAGCGTCTCCGTCCGCGGGCATTTACACTCACGAGCAAGACAATCAGTACCAATAAAGGGAACCTTCTCTGTACGTGTTTTTGCCAATGACGTAGTTTTTGGGAACGCACTTCAGCATTTCTATGAGTTGGCATTTTGGACTTCAGAGTAAAACAAAAAAAGGAGCATCTGCTGACAGCCCTCCACACCAGCGAGCACAGCCTGAGGGCTCTGACCTCACTGCAGACGGCGCAGGTGAGACCTGCCAGCCCGCACCTCGGCTCCCTGAACCGAGCGGCAGAGTGGGGACGGAAGACCTTCCCCCGCTGAGCTGTGGGGACGGGACATCCCGCCGAGCTGCGCTGTAGTGAGGAGACGTCGAGGAGCCTGCGGGCGTGTCAGTGTTTCTTCACTCAGAGAATTCGTCTTTCATTTGAAAACGTTATTTTCTTATGAAATTCTAAAGATTTAGTTCGCACGGACAGAATGGCTCCCCTACAGCAAGGTGCTGCGAAGGCTAGAAATACTGGGGTGCAGGGCTCTCTCCACGAGGCTCTGCTGGGAGAGCCGGGCTGGGCGGACCCACACCTTCCACACCTCGGAGGTGGGCTTAGGATGTGATTTTCCTTCCCAAGAAACCAAGAGGTTGAGAGGTTAAGGAGCCAAGGGCACAGGGTGTCCGGCTGCGGCCAGCCCAGCATCAAGCGGGTGCTGAAGGACTCCCACACCCACACCCCACGTGACCCTCTCCCCAGGGGTCAACAGAAACTTCCCGGAATAAATGCAACTGCTGGAAAGGTCACCTGAAATCGACGGCCGGTCCGTGGACTAAGCATCATTGCCCAGCTGCTCACGGAGCACGACCGTAAGAGCCCTGAGCGAAGAGGCCCTAGAACACCCCCCTCACCCCCCACTCCTCAGCTGCGCTCTCGCTTCGGGTCCTGGTGCAAAACAAAGCCTTGTAGCCGAGGCCGCTCACACCCACATCCCACTGTGCACGCATTTGCCCTCGACTCACCACAGCTCCCTGTTTGACACAATACCCGGCTTTGATGACGGCGCTGTCGGAGGGCGGCTTCGGGGGGAAGTAGGGGAGATGGCTTGGTGACCTTTTCAAGTGGTTTCTGTCAGCACTCTCACCGCAGTCGTTGGCTTCTTCTTTCTAAAGTGAAGCAGAAAAGCAAGTCCTTTCTTGGCGCTCGGCTTCCCAGCACAGGAAGCAGGCTCGGACACGCCAGTAGCCACGGCCGTGGGCGCTGGGAGCACCAGGGACCACCGTCAGCACAGGCCTACCCCGAGTGCGCTGTGCCCGAAGCTCACACAGAACAGACGGGGGTGAACTGTGATGGGAAACACGTTAAAATCTACAAAAGGGGGAAAGCAGACTTGCAGGCCGTGTTGTCGTCCTAGCAGAATCACCAGCTCCATCTCAGCTGCACGAGGACACAGATTTGGAGTGAAGTGTTCGAGTTGATTTACGGTCCTGAACTGTAACTGTCCGTCACTGACCGGCCACGCCTGTCTGCTGCTCTCGGTCTGCAGCAGGCCTGCCGCCAGTGCTTCCGTGAGGAAGGGGGCAGTGGGGGTTAACGTTTTACTTTGAAATAAGTGTATAGTCACAGGAAGTTACCAGGGGCACCGGTTAATAATGCGGATTTTTTCCACTAGATGGATTTACACATATGTTGATATATATGCGATTTGATATGTATGCTATTTTGTTGTATTGACAGCAAGCTTCAAAACTTCGTATGTCAAATTTTCTGAAGGTGTTAACATCGTATTTTTATGTTTAAAAATGTCGAATTTCATGCCAAAAAAAGAGCATTTGC